CTCCTCCTCCTCCTCCTCTCCTCTTCTCCTCCTCTTCCTCCTCCCTCCTCCTCCCTCCTCCTCCTCCTCCCTTTTCCTCCTCCTCCTCCTCCTCCTCCTCCCTCCTCCTCTTCCTCCTCCCTCCTCCCCCTCCTCCTCCTCCTCCTTTTCCTCCTCCTCCTCCTTCTCCTGCTCCTCCTCCTCCGCCTCCTCCTCCTTGTCCTCCTTCTCCTCCTCCTCCTCCTCCACCCCCCCCTCGTCTGAGCGCCGGGCCATGTCAGAAGGCGCGGGGCGCATTTGGGCCGTCTGACGGTGGCGGCGGACGCGACTGGCCAGGGGCAGCGTCAGTTGGGCTTAGCATCGTTCGGACGTGTGCGTTTTTTTGTTCCGGCGACGACTACCGATGGGCATCTCGGATCATCCTGCGGGACAATTCATGCACGAAGTCGACATCTGCACGGGGAATGGGCGTCCGAGCGATGGCGAGTCGTTGGGAGAGGGGAAGTAAGAAGGAGAAGGCCTTCTCAGAGGGCGGGGGATTTTCTCAGAAGCCCTCGCGTCTGCCGAGAATATTTGTCTTCGTTTCTTCGGGGGAGGCTTAGAACACTTCTCGGAAGGCCGGGCGGGGGACTTCCGAGCCTTCTGGGCAGGCCCGCCCCTTCTCGTTTCCCCCCTCGCTCCCCGCCGATGGGAGGCCCCGACAGAACTCCCGGGGCCGCGGGGCGCCGCCCAGGTCGACGCCGCTCGGGGTGCGGGCGCGGGTTGCTCGGGGCCGTTCGACTGGGCGGCGGGCGCGCCAGGCCAGGAGCAGCGCCAGCGGGTGGGACCAGCTCGGAGGGCTTCGGGGTGCCTTGGGGACTCGAGGGGGCGGGCGTCAGTGCAAACGGGGGCCCGTCAGAGCGCCGGGTCTTGCAGGATCCTGCAGGGCCAGGGGTGCATGGACCCGGGTCTGGGCGCAGCATTCTGCAAAGCCTGACTGGCTCGGGTTTGGATTGACCCAGGTCAGTAGATCTCCGGTTCGAGACTCGAGGTTTTCGGGCGCGCGGGCGGAGGAGGAGGGGGCGAACGTGTTGGGCAGAGGAAGGGGGCGGCGGCGAGATTCGGGGGTGCCGGGCGTCAACGTCGCTTCTCGGCGGCTGCCCAGCGTCGGCATGCCTTCCAGCGGCTGCGCCTCGCCGAGAGCGTGCTGGGGTTGCCCGAATCGTCCCGAGCGGCCGCCGGAGAGCAGAGCTCTGAGCAGATAGCCAAGGGCCGTATAGGCGATTTTTCCCCTCCACCCCCCGAGCTCCGCCCGGACAGTACACGCCGGTCGTTGAAATGAGGTATTTCTGGATTCCCAGATCCCAGTCTACTTCAAGTGCCTTCCTACGGCAAGAATCGGCACGCTTTTGCTGTGTTTTATGATTCTCTGGGGGGGGCCTGGACCCAAACAACTTAATCCGCCTTCCTACTTCATGTTTCTACCTACTTCTTGAGACCGACGTGTATGGCCGCTCCGGCAAGTGGGGAAGCCCTGGAATGCCCCCCGAGGGGCGATTATTCGGACGCGCCCCCGTCGAGGAGGGACGCCCCCCCCCCCGTCGTGCCCCCCGGGGCCGGGCCCCGAAGATGTCTGGCCCGCTCGACCAATCCCCACAGCTCGGGCTGGGGGTCGATCTGTCCCGTCTGCTGCACCCGCCGGCCCGCGGGCGCCCGCGGGCGCCCGCGGGGCGCCTGCGGGCTCGCTCTGCCGGGGGCTCCTCGCCGGCCTGTCGGCGACTCCACGCAGTCGTTCTAAGAGGAGGGGGATCGGGGCGAGGAGGAAGGAAGGGGGGAGGAAGAGGGCGAGACGGCCTATGAGGGGAAGCAGTGGTGTAAGGGGGGAGGCGGCAGGACGGCTTAGAACGAGGGGAAGCAGTAGTGTAAGGGGGGAGGGAGTGTATGGGGTCGGAATAGATGGGGTCGGAGGATTGCGCCGCATCGCCGATGCATCGGCGATGCGACATTGCCGATGCATCGCCCACCTCGCCGACGCATCGCCAGCGCATCGCCGATGCATCGCAAATGCATGACCGACGTATCGCCAATGTATCGGCGATGCGGCACGATCCTCCGACCCCATCTACTCCGACCCCATCCAGAAGGTCTCTAGTCGTCGAAAGGGGGTGTCGAAGGGCCTTCGGCCCATGCCGCCACCGTGATGCGGCACACTCTACGCAGCTCAACTCGAAGGGCTCTGCGCATCAGCTGTGCTGGCTCGAGAATCCAGTACTTTCCAGACTCAGTCTTCAGCGTCAGCTCGGTTCCTCAGCATGGCGCCAAAGGGGATGGTCAAGGACAGGGCCACAGGCCATTGGACGTCGCCCCCTGCCATGCGTCTTGGGCCAGCTGGGAGGCCTTTCGGGAACCTCTGGGCTCGTCTTGGTGCCCTCTTGGGCCCGGAGCACTCGTGCGGCCAGCCGCGAAGAGCAGCGGGAAGCCCCAGCGGATCAGCGCCGCGCCCAGGGGGATTTTGGGGGTGCGGGGTCCGGGCCTCGGAGAGGCTCCTCGGGAGTGAGGCCTGAGGCTCTTGGAGGCCCGGGCCCAGGATCTGAGGCCACGCCCACTCCGCGCCCAGCGGCACGGTGGCGGATCTCTGGACGCCCAGACCCCAAATCCATTTCCAGGGCCTTCTACTTTCTAGGCTCATGATGCTCCAACCTACTTTAGCCTTGATCACCAGGAAGAATTTCGAGCGCCCCAATAATCTGGACGCCCGAAATGTGTACGGAAAGAATGGGTACAATGCCCAACAGCAGTTCCTGTTCATTCTGAACAGGATTCGCTGTCCACGCCGCTGCGGCCTGTGTCCATTCGAGGCAGAAGGTTGCCTGCCCAAAAGCGGCTGCTGTTGGTTCGGGACAACATTTGCTGTTGGGTATTGTACCATTTTTTTCCGTGCCCATGTCGGGCGTCAAGAATTTCAAGTACCGAACCTCAAGGGTTTTCACGTGCCGGGCCCTGGGAGACACTCGCCCGACACTGTTTCGACACTGCTTCGGAATTCTTTTGACACTTTTCTGGGTGCTCGAAATTATTTCTGGGATGCGGTCCGTAAGTAGGACGGGAACAACATAATTCTAGGTTTCTCGGATGGGGTCGGAGTAGATGGGGTCAGAGGAACGCGCCGCGTCGCCGATCCATCGGCGATGCGGCTCGACGTGCAGCCCGTGTTTCCCCACGCCGACATCGCCGATGCATCGCTGACGTCGGCGATACATCGCAGGTTCATTGCTGATGCATCTCTGATGCATCGCCGATGCATCAACGATGCATCGGCGATGCGGCGCGATCCTCCGACCTCATCCACTCGAACCCTCTAGGAAGCCTCTACACTTCACGAGCCGATATGATCTTGCTGTTCTTCTGGTATTGTTTTCTGGAGGGAGCCTGGGGCCAAGCTGCTTAATCCGCCCCTTATCTTCCTGTTTCTACCTACTTCGTCCGACCGACGCGTGGTCGTCGATTTCATGCCGATGTTCCTCCCCCCGTGAGCCGGCCCCCCCTTCGAGAACCCCCTCAACAGGAGTGGTCGACAGTCGCTCTGCCCTCGCTCGTGGGGGCGGGGGGGAGAGGGAGCCGTCCAAGCGCCAATGCGAGAGCCACGGTTTGAGAACGCCCCCCCGCAGTGCGTGTAGCTGCCGGACATGCTTGTAGGACGAGTGTGCGTCGCGCGAAGGCATGAGGAGCATCTTCAAAACGAGTCGCGCTCCATCCGTGCGACCGCTCGAAGCTCGTTAAGACGAGTGGTGTGCGGCGCTGGGGCGAGAGCCACGATCTGGCCATGCTCTCCGCCATCCGTGTAATGTTTGGAAGGTTTCGGAACGAATGTGCCCGGCGCGGAGGGGAGATCCACGTTCTGAAACCGATTCCCCCTCATCCGTAGAGCCGTCGGAATCCTTTGGGATGAGTGTGCACGGCGCTGAGGCGAGAGCCCCAGTTTGAAAAGGACCTCCCTCCATCTGTGCAATTTGTGTAACCTCTGACGATGCATGGGTGCGGCGCTACAGTCAACCCGCATGGGAAGTCTGGGCAACCTTCCCAAGGGTACCCTTGCATCCTTGCCCCCTCGGCCCATCCTCAGGGACTCTCGCTGGTCAGCCTCGTTCGAAAAACGTTGACATCAGTCTCCAAGGCCCTTGCATCCTTACCGCGCATCCTTATGATACGGGATGGCTGTAAGGCGAGAGCCACATGTTGAACTCGACGTGTGCTCCACTCGTGCAGCTGATGCAGACGTTGAGTACGAAGGTTAGCGGCGCTAGCGCAACATCCACATTTGAAGTATACCCTCTCCATCCGTGTGGTTGCTGGAGGCTTTTAAGACGAATGTGCGCGGCGCAAAAGCGAGAGCTACGTTCTGAAACCGCCAGTGTTCCATCCGTGGAACCGTTGGCCATTTCAAGCTTCGGTGTCACAGACGGGGAGGAAGTCTCAGGCGAAACGCTCAGCCCGCCCTTCCGACACGTCTGGTGGGCACACGAGGAGGAGTTATTGCGAAGGCCTTGCGGCTGATGCCGCCGACCCTGGCGACGGCGATGACCATGGCGACGACGGCGACGACGACAGCGATGACGACGACGATGCTGAAGCTCTGGGTCCGAAAGCTTCTCCCAGGGAGGGTCGCTCCTTCACAGGGGGGTGGGGGTCACAACTTCCGCGATCCCCCCCAGGACCCCTCAGTACCTCCCCTGGGACCCCCCCTGGGACCCCCTCCGGACCCTCCCCCCGGCGGGGGAGGGACCAATTAGACTCGATAAGACGTTGCTCGATCTGGAACGCGTGAGGGGCAGTGGCGACGATGACGACGACTCAAACGGCAAAGCCTCTCACACACACCGACAGGGTCGGCGGATTTATCGGTAAGTGAAAGGGCGGGAGGAGGGTGAGGAGAAGGGGGACGAGGAGGAGGAGGATGAGAAGGAGGAGGCGGAGGAGGAGGAGGAGGAGGAAGAGACGCAGGACCAGGATGCAGGCATGCCTTTACAAGAACGGCCCCGCAGGACATCAGGAACATCGTGCAGCAGGTCGAGGGCCAGGAGAACGTCCGCGCGCTGGGGATTAATGCCCCGCTGGACCAGGTCCTCGACAAGGCTGGACCCCTCTGGCTGGCGAAGAAGACTGACGATGGGGATGACAATGCTGACGATGCTCATGAAAAGGTCGAGATGGACGAACATGATGAGGAAGACGATGCCTTCCTCCTTCATTATCCATCCCCGTCCGTGCTCCGTCATCCTTCTCCTTCATCTCCCGTCCTCGTCTATCCCCTCACCCTCTGTTCCTCCGCCCTCCATTTCCTGCCTCTCCACCCCCTCCCCTTTCCCTCCACCGTCCCTCCTCCCGCTCCTCCCCCCCCATTCCCTCTCCGCGACCGTGACCGCGCTGGCCCGAGTCCGGCCCCCCGCCGCTCCCCCCCTCCCCCCACCCGACCAGATTTGCGCTTGTCTGCTCCTTATCCTCCTCCTCCTCCTCCTCCTCCTTATCCTCCTCCTCCTCCTCCTCCTCCTCCTCCTCCTCCTCTCCTCCTCCTCCTCCTCTCCTCCTCCTCCTCCTCCTCCTCCTCCTCCTCCTACTCCTCCTCCCCCTCGTCCTGCTCCTCCTCCTCCTGATCCTCCTCCTCCTTCTCCTCCTCCCTCCTCCTCCTCCTCCTCCTCCCCCTCCTCCTCCTCCTCCGCCTCCTCCTCCGCCTCCTCCTCCTCCTCCTCATCCTCCTTCTCCTCCTCCTCCTCCTCCTCCTCCTCCTCCTCCTCCTCCTCCTCCTCCTCCTCCTCTCTCTTTCCTCCTTCTCCTCCTCCTCCCGGGTGGGCCCGCGAAGGCGTGCGCGGGTGCGTAGGTGGTGTGGGGGGGGGAGCGTTTGCACTGCCGCGCTGCCGCGGGAAGCGGCGGGAGGTCCAGAAGTGCCTGGACACGGTGGTCAACATCGACCAGGCCCAGGACGGCATGCGGCGACGCCTCTCCAGGCAGGGCTCGTTTTACTGTCTCCAGCTCGATTCGGTTCAACTCCGACGGTGACTTGGGATTCCGATTGGGGCTCCGACGTCTCATATTGGAGGCACACTGCCGATGTTCCGCCGCTTCGTCTTCTCTCGGCTCGGCTGCCTATGTCCGCCGATCCGAGCCATTTCGATCACCGAGCCGATTTATCGCTTCGATTCTGGGTTCTCTTGTCCATGGCGGTGATGGTGGTGGTGTTGGTGGTGATGACAACGGTGATGGTGTTGATGCTGGTGCCGCCGGCGACGACGATGACGGCGATGAGGTTGAGCATGACGAAGGCGACGACGACTGCGACGGCGATGCCGATGATGTTGCTGAGGAAGATGATGACGAGGGTGGCCATGACTATGGTGATACTGATCAGGGCAATGCTGATGCCAGTGCTGACGGCGACGAACACGAGAAAGAAAGTGACAACGAAGATTAGTATGATGACCATTGACGGGCCACTTTTCCACTACCGCTATCAGATGTAGGACGGGGGAGAAGGGAGGATGGGGAGGTCGCCCCGTCGACCAGGCCGGTGGCGGGCGGGGGGGGCCCTCGCCGCGACGGCCCCTCCGGCTCCCCGCGGCCGCGGGGGACGGGTCGGTCGCCGATCGCATTGCGGACGGCCCGGCGCCTGTGAAAGCCCAGCGGGGAGGGCGGGAACTGCGGACGCTGCCGTTGCCCGGTCGGCGTCTCCACCCAAGTGGGCGAGGCGCGCCTGGTCTGGCGGCGGTCTCCACGGTCTCTCAGCAGTATGTCAGCTGGGAGCACTTAGCCTAGAACTTCGAACCTCGTCGCCCGATGCGCCTGGTCGTGATGGGCGCAGAGATTCGCAGTGGCAGGCGGTGGCGTTGCGCCTCCCCGAGGGCGGAGGGAGGTCCGAGGCCTGGCAGTCCTCGCGCAGGTGGGTGGGCGGCTCAGTCCGGGTAGCGTCGTGGCAGCCGATGACTACGAGCGGGCGCGTGCCACTCTTGAGTGCGACGCCGACTTTGAGCGCCTCGCAGCGGCGGTCCTCCTGCTCGACCTCTGACTCCGACTCCTGGTCCGGGATCCTTTCCAGACCAGTTGCCACGCTGGGCATCTCGTGACTTTTTGCGTTGGTGCCTACGTCAAAGATGGATTCGGAGGCGAAGGCCGCGTGCTCCTGGCCGTGGATGTCTCCGTCCTGAACCTGGCATCCGCGGGCGCGGTCGAAGTGGGCCCGCTTGGGCTCGGTCTGCTCGAGCCGTTGTCGCAGCGAGCGGGGGCCAGCCCCTGCGCTTGCTCGCAGTGAATCCGCGAGCCTGGCCAGCCGGTACGATTCGCAGCCTGCGGGTCGACGCGGAGGCGGGCCACGTGCCCGTCGGTCTGGGAGAGGGCGTCGTTGAGCTTCCGGCTCGTGCCCCGCCCCTTGGTCTTCTTGGCGACGTGTTCGGTTGAGGTATTCTGAAGTCGGGCCTGTCCCCCTACAGGGGGATTCTCGACGAAAAATACAAGATACCCCAAAAATAATCCAAAAAGATAGTCCCCAGACTATTTTGGGACTATGTTTTGATTATTTTCGGGGTATTAAAAAAAATAAAAATCGAAGATCCCCCTGTAGGGGGACAGGCCCGACTTAAGTCTATCTGGCAGAGGGCGTCGCTGAACTTCCGGCTCGTGCCCCGCCCCTTGGCCTCCTTGGCGAAGTGCTCGGTGGAGGTGTGCGGTTCCGTGACCAGGCCCGCCTTGGCCACACGGCGGCCGGCCGCGGCGCCGTCGGCGGCAGAAGTGCGCCCGCCCCCGCCTCGCCCGGCGCCCGCCGAGGACGCTTCAAGATGCCGAGGATTATGATGTTGCAGCCTACTTTAGCCTTGATCACCAGAAAGAATTCCGAGCGCCAGGAAACTACCCCCAAGCTCGAGGGTTTTCGCATGTCGGGCCCTGGGAGGCACGCTTTCGGCACTCTTTCGACACTCTTTCGACACTTTTCCAGGTGCTCGAAATTATTTCTGGGACGTGGTCCTTAAGTACGATGGGAGCTACATGAGCTGAGGATCCCGCCGAGCACCCTGGCGCGCTGGCTGCGTGAGGCGGAGCTGGTTCGCAGGCTGCGCGCGGTCATGGCCAGAATCCCGGCGAGGATCAGGGCGGGGCCGAGCCCCGCTGCGAGCGGCCAGGCTGCGCCGAAGCAGTGGGCGCTCCGGCCAGGTACAGCAGCCAGCCGCCTCTCTCGCTGAGCCATCCCGCTTCCTTCTGGGCCGAGAAGGCGCCATCGGGGTACGCTTTCGACGGTCTTTAAGACGCCAAACAGAGAGAGTGAGAGAGCGAGAGAGAGCAGTTTCCAGAAGCGAGATTAAGAGGAAGGGGAGCCCGCACGACTGTGGGGGTTGAGGAAACCGAGCGTTCACAAGCAACAACTAAGGATACGTACGCCGGCGGCGGCGATATTGCTGGTGATATGATGAGGATGACGGTGGCACCAATGATGGTGATGATGATGCTGGTGCTGGTGATGATGATGGTGCTAATGACGACAAGAGTGATCATGGTGACGATGGGGATGACTGTGATGGTGGTGGTGGTGGTGGCGTCGAAGATAATGACGATGCTGATGGCGATTGTGGTGATCATGGTGTTGATGATACTGCAGATGGCTTTGGTGACGATACTGATGACGGTGATGAATCCGAACAGGATGAGGACGCTGGTTGCAGGTGTGAATTGATGGTAGTGCTGCTGGCGCAGGGAACAGCAATACAGTTGTTTAGTTTTCCCTGCAGGAGGTGGACGTCAGGGCCATGCTGCAGAAGGCTGGGAGGCCTCGGGGGAGTGGGTTGTTGTGCAACCCCCCTTCCTCCCCCTCCTCATCCTCAGCCTCATCCTCATCCCCTTTTTCTTCCTCGCCATGTCTTGCATCACTGGCCTCCTCACTCCTCCTCCTCCTCCTCCTCTTCCTCCTTCTCCGTCTCGTCCTCCTCCTTCTCATTTTCTTTCTCCTCCCTCCCTCCTCTTTTTTCTCTTCCATCTCCTCCGTGCGGTGCATCAGTTTCTTGGCTCTCCCCTTCTCTTTGTTCTCCTGTTGTTTTCCTCTCATCGCCCACTTGCCCATTTTGTGGCCCGTGTGTCCTCCGTGATGTGGGGCCTGGCTGGGTTCTCGCGGATGGCGCGAAACGATGCTGTCCAATCTTATCGGCTGATTTTCCATCGTTCTTGGACCTGTCTCTTTGGAAGCAGGCCACCGCCTGAGTCTTTGTCCCCCTCTTCTTTCCTCCCCCTCCCTTTCCTCGTTTTCGTCCTGCTCCCCGGGCCTCCCCTTCTCCTTCCTCCCTCCCGCCCACGGGAGGGAGATTCGGTCAGGCGACGACGCGCGGGAGTGAGAGGGAGTCGGAGGAGGACAATTGTACAGGTCCGCCTCGTTCCCCCCTTCCCCTCCCCCAGAAGGGATAAGAACAGTCAGAGGAGGCGGGGCGAGGAGGGAGGGGAGGAATGATGTGGCCCTGTATCCAGGGAGGGGCAGGGAACGAACTGCAAGCATCCAGGGGTGGGGTGGGAAAAGGGAGGCGACTTTGTAGTTAAGATCCCTGCGCTTCAGGCGCCAATCCAAGTTCTCCAGCGTGCCTGGTGTCAGCAGCTTCGCGTGGTTGATCTGCAGGGTAATCCATGGGGGCGGGGGCGCGTTTGGGGCCCATCTGGGTTATGCTGTTGGGCTTAGCGCACTCCTAGAAGACCGACCTGGGAGGTGTGCTGGGCCCCGGGACCGAAGCCCCCTGGGGGCCCCGGAGACGTGCCCGAGGACGCTAGGGGGCTCCGAATTTGAAACGGAAGAGCCACATGCCCCCTTCAGGACCAGGGGGCTCCGAATTTGAAATGGAAGAGCCACATGCCCCCTTCAGGACCTGGAGTCCAAGCTTTTGCACATCGGGTGTTCTGCGAGGCATCGTCGAAGGTGGCATGTTGTATCCAGCTCGTTTTTGTCCGCCAGTGTTGCGGAGATGCTGCGCTGCGCGCGCGTGGACTATCATCGCATCATGTGGGGCTGCTCTAGTCAGGAGCAGGGGATGCAGCCGCACGTTGGCAGAGTCGACTTGCGTGGATTTCCTGCGCGCGAACCTGGGACGTGGATGGTGGACAGGGGTCTCTTCGGCAGGTTCTGTTTCCACCCCTCCCTCCTCGGAGATCGCGCGAAGGGTGACGCGTCGCGCGTGGGAATGCTGGCGTCGTCACAGGCGCGTCGTTCACGGACCGAGCGCGTCGCAAGGCGTGGGGCTTGGCGCTGGCCCGAATGTTCCAGAGCTGGCTGGGGGCTTGCTCAAGCTCGCGGTGGCGCAGTAAGAGCCGTCGTTATTGGCGCCCTGCTTGGCCCCGTCTAACCGTCGCCGAGGGCGGTTGAGATCCTCTGAGCGTGCGCGTTGTCGCGTGGGGGGGCCAAGTTTGTCCAGCCCCGGGTCGTGACGACGTGGACCTGTGGGAGGCCACTCGGCGCTGCGCCGAGGGCCTCGGAGGTTTGAGCGACCCCCTTCGCGTCTATCACACGAGTGGCCATCGGCGCGGCCTGGGGGACCTCGCGAGGGGGAGTCGGTGGGCGGGCCATGCGGCGGCGAAGGACAGACACTTACATGCTGCGCCGCGGCCGGACTTGAAGGCCATGTAGATCGCCCGTCGGAATGTTGCTCAGTGTTTTAAGCGGATTGCTTCAGCCTGTTTGAAGCACTCGGTGCACCTCTGTGCCAGGGGAGAAGAAGGAGAGGGAGAAGAATAATAATAACATTAATAATAATAATAATAACCATAATAATAATAAGGAGAATAATAATAATAAGAAGAAGAAGAAGGAGAAGAAGAAGAAGCGTGCGTGAGCCTCAGGTGCCTGCCCAAAGCTCGATCCTGAACCTCCTGCGTCCTTCTCCTGGACTCGGGCATGTTCTCAATCGGGTGCGGAATCGCTCAGTTTGGAGATGCAGCTCTTGCACGGATGGTGCGAAGACTGAGACTGAGAGGGCTCGCGCTCAGTTGTCCTCTCTCCCTCGCCCTCCTCGTGCCGCGGCCGGTCGGCCCGGACTCGTGGCTGGCCGGCGTCCGAGGGCAGGTCGAGGGGGGGTGCCCCGCAGCGCGAGGCCGAGGCCTTGAGCGTGGTGGTGCCTGATAGGGGGCTGCGCCCTGTCGGCGCCCTCCCCCTCCTCCTCCCCCTCCTCCTCCTCCTCCTCCTCCTCCTCCTGCTCCGCCTCCGCCTCCTCCTCCTCCTCCTCCTTCCCGCCCGCCCTCCTTCGCTCAGGTGGGTGAGGGTCCCAGTGGACATCAGGTCTCGTCACGTTTCGGCGCCCAAGACTTGAGGGTCCCCACGGCAGAGGTTGCTCTTCCTGTTCCTCGTCGAGTTCGGAGTTCTGTTCGGTTCGGCGCAGGGCTTCCTTCGACCCCATGATGTGCGCAAGGTAGGTTTGAATCTCGAGCTGTGAGTGAAGATATTGCGAAGCTTCATGATGACTCTAGGGCGGAGTCCCTGGCCCCGAGTTTTCAGAGGGGACTGCTTGGTGTTGCAGTCAGGGGTCGACCAACCTTGCCGCAATCCACTGCGCTTGCCCCCCCATTGTCAGAGTTCTTTGCAGTCCGCGACATCCATGATCGTGGCCAAAGGCTGCAGGCTCCTTCTGGCCCAGTTGTCCTTTGATGGATTTTGCAGTTTCCGGGAGACTATCTGGTCGCGCTGTTTGGAGCATGGGATTTTCTCAGGAAGACCTTCACCCCGCGGGTGGCGGGAAACCCACGTCTCGCTTCATCCCTGGGCCCCGTGATTTGCTCGTTCGTGACCCCGGCACAAACCAACAGGTAATGAGAGAACGGGAGGAACGACTGAACGGCGAGAACTTTTCTCTCGAGGATGCCTCCATCTGGGAGGGGTTTGGGAGAAGGTGGGGGGGATGTTGTTTGTGGCGGCCGTCCTCGTCGTCGTCGCCGTCCTCATCATCATCCTCTTCCTTCTCCGCTCTCCCCGCGCCTTCTTGTTGTACAACGTTGCGGCGGGAGGGAAGGTGGCAACTTTTGGCCGCCACGGGCCTCGTCGGGCCCCATATGCAAGGCCGTAGAAACGTAACTCGGGATGAAAAAGAAAATAACAACTGGCTACGGGGAACAAAAAAACAGATCTCCGGGGGGTCTACTTTGGGAGCAAAGTTGCGGCATCGGAGTTTTGGGTCGTCCGGGGGGGGGGGGGGGGCGGCGGACAACGGCTTTGAAGCGCCAGCTTCCGCACCGCCCCCGTGCCCCCCCAGATGCACACCAGAGGCCCGATCGACAAGCGTGCTCCTCCCCGCAGTCCCCCTCTCGTCCCATTATCTCTCCTCCTCCCCGCCCCTTCTCGTCGTGAACGAGTTGCGACGGACGGCTCTTCCATGTTTTGTTCGGCTTCGGGGGGCCCTCGCCAGGCCCTGCGGCCGTAACACAAACGGTCCAGAATGAGACGCTAGGCTTTTTTTTTTTGAATAAAACAATTTTATATACATATATCTATACATGTGAATCTATATATATATATATATATAACATCCATTGCCCCCTCCCTTTTTCCCTCTCCCCTTCAAAGACCTGAAGCAGGTACAGCAGGCCCTGCCTCGGGGCGCGCGCGGCATGCCCCAAAGCCAGAGACTAACAGAGAGCAGCCTCGCATGCCGTCGGAGGATGGGACCATCCGCTCTCAGCCGCCGCCACCTCCTCCCTCCCTCCTCCCTCTAGTTTCCGCCTCCCTCCCTCCTCCCACCTTCCCTCCTCTCTCCTTCCTCCCTCCCTTCTCCCTCCTTCCCTCATCTTTCCTCCTTCCCTCATCTTCCCTCCACCCTCCCTGCCTCCTCCTTCCCTCCTCCCTCTCACCCTTGCCTCGTCCGCTTCCTTCTGCTCCTCTCACACATGCTGCTGCAGGCAACACGCGAGAGACCAGTTATCCGACGCTTCGGGCATTCATTGGCGATACGGTGATCAGAACGGAAGGCACCACATATTCTACGATGAATGATTTGCGTGATATCATTGTCGATTTCGTCGGTATATCTCAGGAAGGCAGCTTGGTGGTTTCTGGGAAGACAGTTTTGTCATCGTCAAACATCGGCGCTTGTCGAGCGACGGTACAACAATTGAGGAGAACATGCGTCCCCGTAAGTTTCGTTTCGGACGGAGTGGATCTTGGCGTTGACGTGCCTGGTGGTCGGAGGCGCACGGCCAATAAATCGAGGTCCAGATTAATCGCAGGGCGACTCAGAGCAGGCGTATTTCAAGCTTCGTCGAAATGCTTAACTACGGACGGAAGTTAAGGGGCTTTCGTCCACAGGCGCGTTACCGCATAGCTCTCATGGGCATCAAGCTCAAGGGTTTTCGCCTTCGAATTCTCACGTTACTGCGACAAGCTGCTGACTCTGGAGTTGGTTCGACGAGACCACAGCGTTGGCGTTACTTTTCGGTCGCAAGTGCCCTTGAGCCGAGATGCGCAGGTGTTTGTTTTCAGAAGACTTGGCGCTGTGGAAGACCGACTGCAGCATTCATCACCGAGTTGAGCTTGAATGGCCCCACGTACACCGACGATTGGAACGGACAGGTAAAGGGATACGGGGGTTAGTCAAAGATCTCATGTCAGAAATGATTGAAAAGTTGAGGGACGCAGGGTGACAAGCTAACAGTGCACTTAGGTGGCGCAGGCAAGTCAATGGCGGCTTGGAGGAGTTCCAGATCCCCACCTCAAGAGCGGCATGGTACGATCCGGCACGGTTTCATGTCTTTGAGTTGTTGGGTGGTTTTGTCATGGATGTTCGGCTACAGACTTGGAATCTGGCGGCGTCTCATTCGCATGGTGAAAGGCTCGAGTACGGTGGAGATGTGTATTAGGCCAGGTTGGAGCTCAATCGCTTTACGAAGAACGGTGATCTTGATGATGTCGGTCTGAATGTTCGTGTCGCGACAAGTGTTCGATTAACAAAGTATTGGCAGCTTCGATTGAATCCCGCCATGGAGAGATGGTGCCCCAGATGCAACAGGAATCATCTTGATTACGAGCAAACTGAAAGGTTAGGTCCACAGGCGTCAGCGTCATTTGAGTCTCAGGCCTCCCCTTGGCTCAGAACGGCCCCTCCCGCTGGGCTCACTCTTCCTGTCTTTGTGAAGCCCCTTGAGGAACTCAGGAGGGCCAGCTTGGGTTCGTGCTCGATGCGCGAGTGCTGTGTCGAAGGCTTGGAACCTTGTTGCGGTTTCGGAGACTGTTCTGGAGGCCGTTGTGCTTCAGGCCCTCGTCGCCGTAGATGCGGCCCCGCTGTGGTCGTGCTTGGGAGATCGGGGCCTTATGAAGTGCCTCTTGGCTGGAACGTTCAGCGCGGTGTTTCAGGGGTCTTCATGGGGGCCTGCCTAAACGGTGCTTTGCTTCGTGGGGTTCAGGTTTTCTTCCCTTCCGCGTCTCACCCGCGTCTCCTCCTCCTCCCCCTCCCTTTCCTTCTCTTCCCAGCTGCGCTGAACCCGCGGCTGGAAGAGAAGGAAAGGGAGAGCACGGCAGGCGCGGCACTCTCTCGACACCAGGAGGGGGCGCAAAGGGTGCGGACTTTATGCGTTGCAGGCGCGCAGGGCACGGCAGGCGTGGGAATTCTCGACACCAGAGGGGGTGCACATGGGGTGCGGTCTCTATGCGTTTCAGGCGCGCAGGGCACGGCAGGCGCGGCACTTTCTCGACACCAGGAGGGTGCGCAGAGGGTGCGGTCTCTATGCGTTGCAGGCGCGCAGGGCACGGCAGGCGTGGGAATTCTCGACAACACAGGGGGTGCACATGGGGTGCGGTCTCTATGCGTTGCAGGCGCGCAGGGCACGGCAGGCGCGGCACTTTCTCGACACTAGGAGGGTGCGCAGGGGGTGCGGTCTCTATGCGTTGCAGGCGCGCAGGGCACGGCAGGCGTGGGAATTCTCGACACCAGGAGGGTGCACAGGGGGTGCGGTCTCTATGCGCTGCAGGCGCGCAGGGCACAGCAGGCGCGGCATTTTCTCGACACCAGGAAGGTGCGCAGGGGGTGCGGTCTCTATGCGTTGCATGCGCGCAGGGCGCGGCAGGCGTAGGAATTCTCGACACCTGAGGGGGTGAACACGGGGTGCGGTCTCTATGCGTTGCAGGCGCGCAGGGCACGGCAGGCGCGGCATTTTCACACCAGGAGGGTGCGCAGGGGGTGCGGTCTCTATGCGTCGCAGGTGCGCAGGGCATGGCACGCGTGGGAATTCTCGGCGCCAGAGGGGGTGCACATCGGGTGCGGTCTCTATGCGCTGCAGGCGCGCAGGGCGCGGCAGGCGTGGGAATTCTCGACACCAGAGGGGGTGCACATCGGGTGCTGTCTCTATGCGTTGCAGGCGCGCAGGGCACGGCAGGCGCTGCATTTTCTCGACACCAGGAGGGTGCGCAGGGGGTGCGGTCTCTATGCGCTGCAGGCGCGCAGGGCGCGGCAGGCGTGGGAATTCTCGACACCAGAGGGGGTGCACAGGGGGTGCGGTCTCTATGCGCTGCAGGCGCGCAGGGCACGGCAGGCGCGGCATTTTCTCGACACCAGGAGGGTGCGCAGGGGGTGCGGTCTCTATGCGCTGCAGGCGCGCAGGGCACGGCAGGCGTGGCACTTTCTCGACGCCAGAGGGGGTGCACAGGGGGTGCGGTCTCTATGCGTTGCAGGCGCGCAGGGCACGGCAGGCGCGGCATTTTCTCGACACCAGGAGGGTGCGCAGGGGGTGCTGTCTCTATGCGCTGCAGGCGCGCAGGGCGCGGCAGGCGTGGGAATTCTCGACACCAGGGGAGGTGAACAGGGGGTGCGGTCTCTATGCGCTGCAGGCGCGCAGGGCGCGGCAGGCGCGGCATTTTCTCGACACCAGGAGGGTGCGCAGGGGGTGCGGTCTCTATGCGCTGCAGGCGCGCAGGGCGCGGCAGGCGTGGGAATTCTCGACACCAGAAGGGGGTGAACAGGGGGTGCGGTCTCCATGCGCTGCAGGCGCGCAGGGCGCGGCAGGCGTGGCATTTTCTCGGCACCACAGGGGGTGCACACGGAGTTCAGTATCTATGCGTTGCAGGCGCGGGCACGGCAGGCGCTGCATTTTCTCGACACCAGGAGGGTGCGCAGAGGGTGCGGTCTCTATGCGTTGCAGGCGCGCAGGGCGCGGCAGGCGCGGGAATTCTCGACACCAGAGGGGGTCACAGGGGGTGCGGTCTCTATGCGTTGCAGGTGTGCAGGGCACGGCAGGGGCGGCATTTTCTCGACACCAGGAGGGTGCGCAGGGGGTGCGGTCTCTATGCGTTGCAGGCGCGCAGGGCGCGGCAGGCGTGGCACTTTCTCGGCACCACAGGGGGTGCACAGGGGGTGCGGTCTCTATGCGCTGCAGGCGCGCAGGGCACGGCAGGCGCGGCATTTTCTCGACACCAGGAGGGTGCGCAGGGGGTGCAGTCTCTATGCGCTGCAGGCGCGCAGGGCGCGGCAGGCGTGGGAATTCTCGACACCAAAGGTGGTGAACAGGGAGTGCGGTCTCTATGCGCTGCAGGCGCGCAGGGCACGGCAGGCGCGGCATTTTCTCGACACCAGGAGGGTGCGCAGGGGGTGCGGTCTCTATGCGTTGCAGGTGCGCAGGGCATGGCAGGCGTGGGAATTCTCGACACCAGAGGGGGTCACAGGGGGTGCGGTCTCTATGCGTTTCAGGCGCGCAGGACGCGGCAGGCGTGGCAAAGTGTCGATAACAGAGGGGGGGGCGCGTGGGGTGCGGTCTCTATGCGTTGCAGGCTCGCACAGCGCAGCAGGCGCGTCATTTTCTCGACATCAGAAGGGGCGCGCAGGGAACGGCCACCAACATCATTCTCACATGCTTTTTTCAGCTATCATCACTCCAGCCATAATATAAGTATGTGGGGTTCCTCGGTAGCGTAATTGCAACTTTTTCTCGAGGCCACCACAGTAACCCTCCCGCCTTGTGGGGCTCTCTCCGCACCCTCCGTCTGGACGGCCCGAAGGGGACGGGCGTGCTTGTTCGTCGGAGCAAGCACGGGTGTGGCGGACGGTTCGGTCGCTTGCTATTTTTTCTGTCTGTCTCTCTCTCTTTCTCTCTCTCTCTCTCTTTCCCGCACGCTGTTCTATGCAAGACGTCCCCCGAAAGCCATTTTGCTCCTCCTCCTTCCCGTCCTCCTCCTCCTCCTCTTCCTCCTCCTGCCCCTCCCCCTCCTCCCTTCTCCCTCATCCTCCCTCCTCCCTCCCCTGTTTCTCTGTCCCCTCCCCTTCCCTCCCCCTCCCTGCTCCCACTCCTCCCTGCCGCCGATGCACAGGAACCGCGCGAACACCAACGCCGGAGAGGACAGCGCGGAGACCGGCATGGCGCCTGAGTCCAGCGAGCTGGCGGATTTCATCAGCAGCAACTACACGCGGCGTACCCACCAGTCGGGGACACACCCCCCGGCCGTCCCTCCGGGTGGGGGCGATTAGGAGACGATTGCCGACCAGGCTGCGGATCCCGCCGATGGGCAGCTGGCGCAGAAGAGACAGAACCGGACCCGGCTGACAAGGATAAATCCGCTCCAGAGCGTTCTGGAACGCTTTCAGAGTGTTCCGAAGCGCTCTGAGAAGGCCGCGGCGCTCGATACATCCTTCAGAGCCGCCGGATATCAGAGATTCTCGATGCATCGCCACCCGGTTCTGTCCTCGTCCTGGTTGCGTCTTGCCCTTCTGAAGCGCACAGCTCGCTTTGCCTGTAGGGTTATGATGTTCCAACCTACTTCAGCCTTGATCACCAGAAACAATTTCGAGCGCACCCCAAAACTCGAGGGTTTTCACGTGTCGGGCCCTGGAAGACATTGTGTCGACACTCTTTCGACACTCTTGCGACACTTGTCTGGGATCTCGAAATTATTTCTGGGATGTGGTCCTTAAGTACGATGGGAACAACATAGCTGTAGGGGGACGCCTTGGGTTCCCTCGGGGCGATGGGCTGACCCTTATCCACTCCTGGACGGACCCCCCCCAGCCGTGCCGAGGGGAGGGCAGCCGAGAGCGCCCAGCGCGCTCGTGCGGAGGAGGCGGGGGCGAGGGCGACGTGCAGAGGCGGGGGCGATGGGGGCGAGGAGCGACTTCGAGGGGGCGACGGGGCGAGGGGCGAGGGCAGGGGCGAGTTCTGGGGGGCGAGGGGACCAGGGGGCGACGGGGGGAGGGGGCGAGGGGGCCAGTTCGAGGAGGCGAGGCGGCGGGGGGGCGAGAGGACCAGGGGGCGACGGGGTGAGGGGGCGAGGGGGCCAGTTCGAGAGTTCGAGGCGCTCGGGGGTGCCCGTCGGTCCTCGGCGGTTAAGTTCCAGCCTTGTTTTTTGTTGGTTTCTGTGTTCTTTTGTTCCCAGCAGCTGCGCCTCGCCGAGCACGTGCCAAGGGGTGGCCAGCTTCAAATCGGGCATGTCCCTCTGCAGGGGGAATACTCGAGAATAGTTCAAAACATCGTCCGGGGACGATTCATGAGATCAGAATTATTATGTCAGAAGTTTCGATTCTGTTTGGACCATCTCTTATGTTTCACAGAATCCGCCTGTAGGAGGACATGCCCGACCTAAGGCCAGATCTTCCCGGACGGGCGCTGCAGACCCGAGCTGTGACCTTGGAGCCAGGCGGCGAGGATCGTTCGGCCGACGGGGGGACCCCGCTCCTCGGAGGCCACGTGCGAACCCTGCCCCTTGCCCCCACGATCTCTGAGGGGGAGGGGGAAGGCTCGCAGGTGGCCCCTAGCTCCTCCCCAGGGTCCACCTCGGTCCGTCGATCCGATGCGGCCTGGCGTCTGCATGGAGCCGAGGTGCATCCTGGCGCGGCCGATTCGATCTGATTCCGACTCCATGCCGCCGTCTCGACGCACGTTCCGATTCGATGTGACTTCTTGATTCGATGATGATTGATCCCCGCGAGTGGGCAGTGTTGAGAGGCACTGGGGCCGTTCAGACAACTTCTTGGATTTCGCTCTGCGCTGGTCCAGGGGCTTTGTCGGATTCGTCTTGGGGCGGTCGTGTGGCGTCCTGGGGATGTTTTGTAGTTGCTTGGGCGGTCTTGGAGCCATTTTGTGGTTCGCTTGGGGTCTCCTGGGGTGCCGCTTGGGGGGTTGACGTCTCTTTTGGCGCTCTTTGTGCGCCTCGTGCGTCTTCTTGAAGGGCTGGCCTGACTTCCTCTTCAGGCCGCACATGACCACTTTGGCGACTTCGGGTGACAGTCTTGGAAGCCATCTTGGACGTCCTTGGAGGCTTTGGAGACCGCCACGGAGGCGTCGGGCGAGGAGCGGCTGGAGAACAGAGCGGAGGAGGAGGAAGACGAGGAGGAGGAGGAAGAGGAGGAGACGGAGTAGGAAGAGGAAGAGGAGGGGGAGGTGGAGGAGGAGGAGGAGGAGGAGCAGAGGGAGGTGGAGCAGGAGGAAGAAGAGGAGGAGGACAGAATACATCCGAGACGCAGCAACGATGCTTCTGACACCCCTCCCGTTCCGTGCCCCCTCCTCGTCAATGTTCGCAGGAGAGAGAGGACGAGGAGGAGGAGGAGGAGGCGGAGGAGGAGGAGGAGGAGGAGGAGGAGGAGGAGTAGGAGGAGGAGGAGGAGGAGGAGGGGGGAGGGGGAGGAGGAGGAGGAGGAGGAGGAGGAGGAGGAGAGGAGGAGGAGGAGGAGGGGAGGCGGAAGCGGGGGTGCAGGAGGAGGAGGAACAGAAGGAGGAGGAGGAGGAGGAGGAGGAGAAGGAGGAGGAGGAGGGGGAGGAGGAGGAGCAGGAGGGGGAGGAGGAGGAGCAGGAGGCGGAGCAGGAGGAGGAGGAGGAGAAGGATGAGGAGGAGCAGGAGCAGGAGCAGGAGGAGGAGGAGGAGGACCAGTGTAAACCCAAGGGTCATCAATGATGTTGACATTCACACTCCCTGCAAGTTTCCTCTTCATAGGCTGCACAACGTTTCATGTCCATTGACGGAACTGCCTCGTTGGAGACAACCGTTGGAATATTTTGATTCATGCCAAAACATTGTTCTCGGGATTTCAACGCGACGGATCAACCTGACAGCTGCGTCTTGGCGATCCGATCCTGAATCGCGCCAGAACGCCATTTTGGGGACTTCACCATTACGGATCCAGATAATTGTTGCACCCGTGTAATCTTGAATGCTTCCAAAATGCCATTTTTGGTACGTTGATGATGGGAACCAGTGAGACTCCTTTCAAACTTTGACAACGAGTCTGCGCGGCGCGAGGGCGAGAGCCGTATTTGAAAAGGAGCCGCCCCCTCAATCCGCGAAGCTCTTGCAAATGTTGAAAACGAATGTGCGCGGCGCTTAGGCGAGAGCCACAATTTGAACACCACCCGCCCTCAATCCGTGAAGCTCTTGCACATGCTGAAAACGAATGCGCGCGGCGCAGCGAGAGCCACATTTTGAAAACCACCCGCCCTCAGGCCGTGAAGCTCTTGCAAATGGTTGAAACGAATGTGCGCGGCGCTAAGACGAGAACCACATTTTGAAAACCACCCGCTCTCCATCTGTGAAGTTGTCTCCTTTTAAGTTTTTAGCGTCGTACATAGTGAGGAAGTCTCAGGCGAAACGCCTGGCCCGCCCTAAAACTGTCAGGGGGAAGTTATTTAGTAGGAGAAGGAAAGGAGGAGGAGGAGGAGGAGGAGGAAAAGGAGGGGAAGGAGGACAAGGAGAAGGAGGAGGAGGAGGAGGAGGAGGAGCAGGAGCAGGAGGAGGAGGAGAAGGAGGAGGACGAGGAGCAGGAGGAGGAGGAGGTGGAGCAGGCGGAGGCCGGACGAGGAGGGGCCCACGAGGCTCACCCCCGGCCGCCGCCGAGGACGCAGAACAGCCGCGGCTCGCGGCGCTCGTCCATCGCGGGGCTGGGGGGCCTCTTCAAGCTGGACTTTGAGGAGCAGGAGGAGGAGGACGAGGCGGCGCCCCCGCTGCGGGAGGAGGGAGGGAGGGAGGGAGGGAGGGAGGACGACGACGAGAAGGAGGAGGAGAAGGAGGAGGAGGAGGACGAGGACGAGGACGAGAGCAGGAGGAGGAGGAGGAGCAGGGTGAGGCGGAGGGGGAGGAGTACGAGGGGGAGGGAGGAGGTCGATCGTCAGGGCATCAAGGACGAGGTCCAGAGGGAGTGGGCTCTGAGGACGCCCCCACTTTCTCTCGACGTGCAGGCATCGCGACGGTAGGGTTTTTGCCGTTTCCCTTCCCCCCCCCGGGAGCCCTGACAGCCGGACCGAGGCGTACGTAAGATCGAGCTCGGTCGGGTGAGGGTACCCCAATGTTCTTCTTGTATGTTGGATGCTCTTGTGCATCCTGGGGACGGGCACCCTCGAATGTTGTTTACTTTGAGCCGCCGAGGGTCTCATGGACAAAGATTGCGACGGGAGGATTTTTTCCCCAATCCTCCTGTGTTAGGTTCTCGTTTTGAACAGCGCTGTGGTCTCCACTCCTTCCTACCCCCCTCCCCCCTCCTGCTTCCTTCTTCCTGCCTCCTGTCTCCACTTCCTTCTCGTCCTCCTCCCTTCTCTCGTTCGTCCTGCTTGCGCCGCCTGGCCACTTTCGTGCGGGCCTCTCCTTGTCGCCACTTTCGTGGGCTTCTGCGAGGTCCAGCGGAGTCGGTAGTCGTGCACAACACGTCGAGACCTCGCGGCTCCCAATGTGGCTGCGAAGTGCGCAACAGTTGCCTCTTTCGTTGGCTCCTGGGAGGTTCAGCGGAGTGAACTGGTACGCAGACCTCGTTCGGACCTCGCGGCTCCCTGCGTGGCTGCGAAGTGCGCAACCGTCGCCACGTTCGCGGGTTCCTGGGAGGTCCAGCGGATTGGAATGGTACGCAGACCCAGTTGGGACCTCGCGGCTCCCTGGGTGACTGCGAAGTGGCAATTTTTGCATGGTTCGCGGGCTCTTCGGAGGTCGCGCGGGGTGGAGTTGTACGGGGATCCACTTGTTACCTCGCGGCTCCCTGGGTGGCTGCGAAGAGCGCAAGGGGCGCCACTTTCGTGGGCGCCTGGGAGGTCGCGCGGAGTGGAGTTGTACGGGGATCCAGTCGGCACCTCGCGGCTCCTGAGGGGCTGCGAAAAGCGCAGGTGTCGTCATTGTTGTGGGCTCCTGGGAGGTCGCGACGAGAAATGCAACTGACGAATGGCGATATTTTGTACCCGCGTGGCCTCCCATCCTCAGCTGCTCCTGGCCCGCCATGCCACCCCGCGCGCTTGCTTCGCTCAGCGCGACGCGCTGTTCGCATGGCGCTGTTCTTTCCCGCGTATTGAGCGCCTGTCGCTGTTGCTGTTACTGAACGTGTATGACCATCCTCCACACCCCTCTGTATGCGTTTGTCTCCGTCTCTATCATGCTTATTCCTGCATGCTTTCTTGCCCATTTCTGGGAGCTCATGCGCAATGCGGGCCCTTAGACATGTTCGTTTGCAGTGGGTGGTCCGATACATATGTACATATATACATCCATACTCACACACGTGTATACACATTTGACAAATGTTTAGAAACAAAAATGCTGGGTGCGCCACCAGGTGGTATCCCAGCACTCCACCCCCCCAGGGGGCCGCTACATAGCCCCACCGTCGAAAACGACTCAGGATGAACATCCGGTCCAAGGAATGCGGCCGAGGTCTCCGTAGGACCACGCAGTGAACAACAGCGCATGACATCGGAGCCTTTGGCACGAGGAGCCTGCCAGGCTTAATCTGTGCTGATCAGGGCCTCGTCGCCTCTGGGCCCCGTGTCTCAGGGCTTCGTTCTTGACGCGCCGAGGACGAGGAACAAGACTCGGCATCCATAGTGTACTCTCGGACGTCCTGCGGGTTTCTTGGGTCGGCGCTGGGCCCCCCTTCTCGCGGCGCCTCCAACACCGCCCTTCCTTGGGAAAAGGGGGTCCAGCGCCGATTCAAAAACTCCTGACTGTCCTCCGAAAGTTCCTTTTCATGTAGCTGTTCCTCTTCGGCATATGTAAATGGCGTGATTTTTGTTACATAAGCGCACGTAGTCGCATGCTTGTCTTTCGTAGTTGGCCCCGATCTCACATTACACATGGAAGGAGGGATGGTTATCGAGGTGGATCGACTGACGGGGGACGGGAACCATCTCAAGCTGGGCCTCGAAGCTGAAGAGGAGGCCCCCCCCTCCACCCATCAGGGGAGGACACCACACCGACACCCGTGCTCTTCCCGTTTTTTCGCCTCCTTGGCTCTCCTGGGGGGGCCCTCGTTGCCATGGCTGGGTTCGCCCCATAATCCTGGTCAGAGCGTATTCGGTGAGGGGTTCACTGAGTACCTCTGTCTTTGTGGCCTTCCGCCCCCGGGGGAGGGAGGGAGGGACGATCGAGCGGGGGAGGGTGACCGAAGTGGACTGCATGGGTCAAGGAGGAAGAGGAGGAGGAGGCGATTTGGGTGTCTCTTTGTTTTAGCCCCCCCCCCCAGAGGCCACCCAGGACTTCTGGATACCTCTGGGGGGTTCTCCCTTGCCTTTCCCCGTTTCCCGCTTCTCGCCCGCTTCCCCTTTCTCTCCCGCCTCTCTTCTGCTCTCCTCCGCCGACGGGTCCCCTTTTCACCCTCTTATCCCTCCCTATTCCTTCCCCCTTTCCCTCCCCTTGAGCGGCATCTGCCTCCGCGTCTTCATCCTGCCCCAAGTCTGGACTTCCTCTGCCTCCGCCTCCGCGGCACCTTCCTCGGCCTTTCCTCAACGTCCTCCTGCTCACCACTTCTTTGTTGATGCCGAATGCCAGAGCACGTTCCTCCTCCTCCACCTTCTTCTCCTCCTCCTTTTGCTCACTATTGCGTTGCTGACCGTCTGATGCCACGGCACAAGAGGCCGATCCGTTGGATTCACTGCCATTTCAGGTCTCTCTCTCTCTCCAGACCCCCGACCCTCAGAGGTCTCGACCCATCCCCTGGACCGGTTTTCCGTCCTGAGTCGCTGCTTGACGGTCCCGAGGGCCAGTAATGGCCTCCAGAGACTGAAATTTAGGAACAGCTTCCCGTCATGTTTTTCACTACCCGAGGGGGGCTGGGTCTCTCTCTCTCTCTCTCTTTTTGTTCTCTCTCTCTCTCTCCCTCTCTCTCGCGTAAAGACGCTCGGGGGATGGATGCCGGTCTGGCGGCACTGCTCCAGGACTTCGGCAGCAGGCCCTCACCGCCGCCTTCGCCGCGCGTGCCGCGGTCGTCGACGGCGGAGTGGCCGTCGGGGCGAAGGTGCTGGTCGGCGTCGCGGGCGGTGCGACCCTCGATCGGCCCGCGTTGGTCACCACGGGCTCTTCGCGCTGAGCTCGGGCGCGGGGGCGCCGGGCGCGCTGCTCAAGGACTCCGATGCGGCGTATTTCGTGCAAGGGTTCCGGTGCAGCGACGCTCTGACGTTCGAGCTGTTGTTATGATGCGGTGCAGCGCGGAGGTGGAGTACGTGAGTGGCGTGACGTGGTTCAGCTGCGTCGACATGCAGGAGGTTGTTCAAAACTTCCGCACTTTCCCCGCGGAACCGCCAAGTGGCATGCCAGGTACCAGGTCAAGAGGGGAGGCCCGTCCTCCATCGTGGAACGTGGAAGGCAAAACGCTCCGACGACCGACATCGGAGTGGACATTCATGTGACGATTTCGAGGATGCTGATGGGGGCGCGGATCACCTGGGCGACTGTGACTGTGTCAGTGCCGAGCTCGGGTTCAGGAAGCTCCACTTCATCGATCACTATTGGGTCGACCGAAGCGCCGAGGAGCAGCGGCGCAGCACGCGCGTGCCCGTGGAGAGGTCACGCGCCTGCATGGAAGGATCGAGGTCGGCGTCGACTGTGTGTCCCGAGCTATTGGGGACGGTATCGAGGGAGTTGGGTTAGGTCGGGCCTGTCCCTCTACAGGGGGGACATTAAAAATAGTTTTTAAAAATAGTATGGGGACTTTTTTGTTTTAAAAGTATTTTTGAGCAGTGTATAGGGGGACAGGCCCGACCTAAGAGTTGGGGCGCACTTCCAGCATTAATCTCACCGCGGGGAAGCTGTGGCAGGAGCAGGCTGCCGCGCCGCAGGAGGGCCCGGGGGCTCCTCCCGGCAGGTCAACGGAAGCCGCGGCTGCTTCTGGGCTTGCCGTGGCCCAGAGGTGAGCGAGCAGAGGCGGGCGGAGGTGACGTCTGCGTGCAGCGCTTGCTCCCCCCCCCCTTCAGTGTTAAGTCGGGCCTGCCGCTCTACGGGGGGGATATTCCAAGATAGTTTAAAAAAAACCGTTTGGGGACTAATTCTTTACGCTTCGCGTATCCCCACCAGCCCATCTCACAGCAGCAACTCTTGCGAAGCATGGCGACAGTCGTGTTTTTCAGGCGTGTGTCCGCTTGGTCCCGCATATCTCCCCTGTTCCTCCTTCCTCCCGCCTGATTGTACATCCTCCTTGTGGGGGGAGCGGGAGAAGGACGAGGCGGAGGAGGAGGGAGAGAAAGCGCTCCTCGTGATTTGAGTCGTTTGGGGTTTCTCGTCCTGGTGTGAGTCGTTCGGGCCCTTCTTCCTGGTGTGAGTCGTTCGGGCTCTTCGTGGTGTGAGTCGTTCGGGCTCTTCGTCCTGGTGTGAGTCGTTCGGGCTTCTCGTGGTGTGAGTTGTTCGGGCCCCTCATCCTGGTGTGAGTCGTTCGGGCCCCTCCTCCTGGTGTGACTCGTTCGGGCTCCTCGTGGTGTGAGTCGTTCGGGGCCCGCGTCGTGGTGTGAGTCGTTCGGGCTCCTCGTGGTGTGAGTCGTTCGGGCGCCTCGTCCTGGTGTGAGTCGTTCGGGCCCCTCCTTGTGGTGTGAGTCGTTCGGGCTCTTCGTGGTGTGAGTCGTTCGGGCCCCTCGTCCTGGTGTGAGTCGTTCGGGCTCCTCGTGGGGCCTCTTGGGGGCCTCTTGGAGCCTCTCGGGGCCTCTTGGGGGCCTCTTGGGGGCCTCTTGGGGGCCTCTTGGGGGCCTCTTGGGGGCCTCGTGGGGCCTCTGGGGGCCTCTTGGGGGCCTCTTGGGGGCCTCTTGGGGGCCTCTTGGGGGCCTCTTGGGGGCCTCTTGGGGGCCTCTTTGAGGCCTCTTGGGAGCCTCCTGGGGGCCTCTTGGGGCCATCTTGGGGCCTCTTGCGGCCTCCTCTGAAGCGCAAAGGAGCGCTGCCCCCTGAGAAGGAGAAAATGAGCCCAAAACCTTAGTAAAATCAATAATTTTGCTATGAAGGCAGATGAGCGCTGCCCCCTCAGAAGGCCAAAATGGGGCCAAAACCATAGTAAAATCAATGTTTTTGGCTTCAAAGACGAGTGGAGGGGCCAAACTCCCCCCCCCCTCGGGACCAGAATCCTCGTGAGGATCGTCGTTTTTTGGCCCTCCCGGGAGTCGAAAAAGACCCCCTTGGTCCCACTCGGCCCGCCCTCTCCAGGTCCAGGGGAGGGGGTAGGGGGAGGGGTAAACCCCTCCCCGAAGGGGAAGATAGGGGGTTAGGGGGTTGAGAACAGAGAGAGCTCGCTAAACCACTCACGCCCAAAGGGCTGGTGGGATTTGGGATCATGTTTAAACATTCGTATCTTTTTTATACATGTGTTGTTGGACATTTATTCAGTCCGACTTAGTTTCAGTCCTGGACATGTGAGGGCCAGCAGAGTGCCCGGCGCCCCCGCGTCAGCGGGGAGCTGCGGGGCGAGCTCGCTGGCGAGCTCGTGGCGGCGCTCCGCCGGCTGGACTCTGGATCTGAGGATCACCCTGGGCGGGCGGGTCAGGGGCCCAGCAGGACGCAGCAGCTGCGCTTGGGGCATCTCCCCGGGAGCTGCGCGGCGGTGGGCCCCCATCCAGCGGGCGCGTCGACCGAGGTGACCCTTCCGGAGCCCCAGGTCGGCGCGGGCTCCTTCGACGGCCAGCCCGTCGCGGCGGCCCCATTCGCGCGCGGCCTCGCCCCCCTGCCGGTCGCGGTCGGCCCCCCAGTGCCCCTGTCGAAGCTGCTCGGCAACGGTGCGGTCCAGATAGCTCGCGGAGGTTCATCTCTTCGACGGTTGCGCCAGTTCCAAGCGCCAGGGCCCCCTCGGAAGAAGGCTGGCTTCCGCCGCCCGCGCCTGGGCCCGGCGCCGCGGCGCCCCGCGGTGCACCTGGCCTTCGTCGAGAGGATGAGGGCCGGGTCGGCCAATTCGCCGTCCGGATGCAGGGCGATCGACTGCGGAGGCAGCAAGTGCAGGGTCACCAGGCCCGGCGAGACTTGTCTCACCTCTGGGGCAGCTTTAGTTCCGTCGAGCTGTCGCTAGGCGAGGTGCCACGAGCGGCAGGCGCGGGCATCGCTGACGTATTCTGCAGCGCAGGATTGCCGTCGGAGATGCGTTTTTTTTGTTTTTGTTTGCTGTGTCTCGCCTTCGCGCCGTCCAGCTCGATCTACGCGAGTTGGCGCGTCGCCCTGATGCTCGGCGCGCGCGGGCGCGCCCTTGCCTCGCGGCGTCGCCGATGGGCCGCGCGCGCGCTCGACGCGGGGCAGAGGGTTCAGAGACGTCTTCCGATCGGGAGAGGATGGTTCGGAGTCGTTCCCGAGTTGGTCGACGGCGTGCCCGCGCTGGATGTTCGGGGCGGACCCTCTACTGCGTGCGTTGACGATGCCTTGGTTTGTGGGGTTGATCTTGCAAGGCCCGCGGAGCTTCTGAAGTCCGCCCAGGAGGCATTTGGTGGCACGGGGCTCCCTCTGCGCGGTCCTGACGGTCGCGCGCCGGTCTCGCCGCAGCTGGGGCGGGCCTCTGACGGGGGGCGGGGGGGTCTGAGGCCGAAGTGTCGTCGAGCTTGGAGACATCGCGCGGGCGCGCAGGGGGCGCCTGGGCGCGGGCGTGCTCCGGGGCAGCAGGTAGGCGAGGCCGCTGGTCAGTTCGCGCTCATTCGCCGTGAGCGTCGGCCGCTGTGGGCCGCGCTAAAGGAAGCGCGCGGTTTCTCGCCAGCAGTTCCGATCGCGCGATGGGGCTTCCGCCGTCGGTTCGCCGAGAACTTCGCTGGGCTGCCCCCCTCATCGCTCTGGCGCGGGCGGACCTCTGGCCCCCCTGGTCTCCTGGGACCTACGCGAGCGACGCCGTCGAGGATGGCGGGGGCGCAAAGATTTCGGAAACCCACGTGATTCGGGCTTCTGCGGGGCGCAGGGGGAAGTGGCCATTCCGGCGCGCTGGCGGGTCGCGACCTCGCGATCGCTTCGCCGAGCCGACCGACCCGATGGCCATCGAGGGCGACCTCGGCGACGTCGCGAAGCCCGAGTCGGTTCCCGAGATCGTCGCGTCGCCGATGAGGTGGATGGCCCCGGGGGCTCGAGCAGCGGGGCCGTCGCGTCGCCAGCCTCGGGGGCCAGCTGGCCGAATGCCGCGGCGCCGGCGGCGAGCTCGTCGAGCTGGCCGCGCAGGAGCCCCCCTCCGGTGCCCTCCGATGTGCCTGTTGCCCCGAGAAGCTTGCAGCGCGGCAAGGCAGTGGCCGAAGGCCAGGTGCCGACGCGCGCTCGCGGGGGCGGCGGCGGAGGCGCGGCGGCATGGGCGGGCGTCGCCCGAGGCAGCCTCGAGCTGGCGCCAGCGGATCCTGCGGCCGGGGGGGCCGCATCGATTTCGGAGCTTCAGCTGGCCTCGGTGGCCCCGAAGACCGCGGCGCAGCGCGGCGCGCTGTGGCAGGACGTCCCCCGCCCGCGGGTCTTCGCGCGACTCGCGGGCGGCGGGCGGCCGGGGCCGCCCGGCGAGGAGCTCGGCGGCGCGATGGCCGGCTGGGCGGACCAGGAGCACCTGTTCGGCGAGCTGGCGCAGCGCGGGGCCATGGGGGCAGCTGCGGCGAAGTCCCCCAGGCCGCAGTTCGCGCGGGCCGGCCGCCGCTTCCCCCCCCGCTCGGCGCGGGCGCCGAAGGGCTGGTAAGCGGCTCGCGCCCAGGCGGGCAAGGCCGCCGCTGCCGCAGGAGGTCGCGGCGCTGATCGCGTTGAAGTTTCTCGGGCAGACTTCCGGGAGATGGCCGCCTGGCGTTCCAGCGCGGCTTGCGCCCGAGTGAGCCCCGGCGGGCGACGTCGGAGATGACCGTGGCCCCAGCGCTTGGATCCGCGTGGTCAGCTGGGCGATCGCGCCGCGCCCTTCCGAGGAGCAGGCCGGCAGCTTGGTGAGGCAATTCGACCTGCCGTTCTGCCGCTTCCTCGAACTAACTGGCGCTGGCTCTCTTCGAGCGGGAGACGCCGCCGCGGGGAAGCCCGTTCGGCATCCGGCAGGCCGCCCGCGCGCGGGTTTTTCAGGAGGCGGCCAGGCTGGCGGGGGTCGACTTGTTGGTGCCTGCACCCCGCGTGCTCCGCCACTGCCTGCTGCCGACCTCCCTCGCGAGGCCTTCGCTCGCGCTTGGGCCAGCAGTGGTGCCGTGCCCGTCCGATTTTGTGTGTTTGCCTCTCTTCCAGCTTTTCAGCGGGCATGGATGTCTCTCCGCAGCATTGAGAGGGCGACGCGTCGCAGTGCTCGAGATGGATCTTCGCCCAAGGGCCCGGTGGGGCCGCTCGAACCGACAGGCGCAGAGGCTGGCGAGAGACCGGAATTTGCCCGGGCTTGCGCGGAGTGTCTTCGCGGGAGTGCCCTGCTGGACCCGGGCCAGGGCCCGGGGCGCAGGGCCACTGCCTGTCTTGAGTCAGCCAGCGCGGCGGAGGAGGCTTAGGAGGCCGAGGAGGTGGATGAGGCGGAGGAGGCGGAGGAGGCGGAGGAGGAGGAGGAGGAGGGCGGAGGAGGACGATGAGGAGGACGAGGAGGAGAAGGAGCTGGAGGAGGAGGAGGAGGAGGCGGAGGCGGAGAAAGGAGAGGAGGAGCAGCAGGAGGTGGATGAGGAGGAGGCGGAGGAGGAGGATGTGGGGCGGAGGGAGGATGGTGATAACCAGGACCAGGACGAGGACGAGGACAAGAAGGAGGAGGGGAAGGAGGAATAGGAAGAGCAGGAGGAGGGCGAGGGCTTGGACGAGTACGACGAGAGAAAGCGACGAGGACGAGGCTGTCGCCGCCGGAGGCCGCCTCTGGCGCCGCGGGTGCCGTGTCCAGGGAGCCTGCGTGGATGGTCATGATCAAGAAGGAAAAGAATTCCTGGGGTCAGCGACGGGGTGGCCTCCTTCTCCTCGTTCTCCTCCTCCTGGTCCTCCTGACCCTCCCATGCTATCCTTCCTCGTTCTCGCCCGCATCCTCCTCTCTCCGACCCAATCCTCGTCGTCGTCCTCCTTCTTCTCCGCCTCCTTCTTCCTCTCATCCTATATCTCTTGCTCCCTCTCCTCCTCCTCCTCCTCCTCCTCCTCCTTCTCCATCTCCTCCTCTTTCTTCTCCTCACCCAAGAAGCTCAAGTGCGATGGTGCCTGGCTGTAATGGTATATCTGACGCTCACGTCTCATTTACTATTTCGCACGCCTGTATGTGCTTATCGTCTGCTTCCTGCGGTTCTTCTACTCCCTGCCATGGCGAACTATCCTGACGAAGTGGGGCTACAAAAAGGTTTTGGCAGGCTTGCTCTGCTGGTTGGGGAGATTTGCGCTGAGGCTTGTCTTGTGCGTTCCTTCGCTGCAGTTGGGAGGGAGGCTACGACCAGGAGCTGTCCGCCGTTACAGGAAGACTCTGTTTCGAGCAGAGCTGTTACATCGTAGAGGTGGGTCCCTCGTTGGAAGCTGACAGCAGCGAACTTACAGTCGAAGGTGGAGACCAATATTTTGGGGCGCACGTGCCACGAGCTGGGTCTGGCACGTGAGTGGGTTTGCATGCATAGCGTGATGCTTGTCTCGTGCTTCTCCTCCGCAGCGCTGCCGTCGCCGCTGCTGCCGCGGCTCTGCTGCCTCGTCGCCGCTGCTCGCGTCCTGTCCCACCGAGATGTTCGAGATCGCTCGGGCCTGTGCACTTTTTTCTCCGGCGAGGCCAGCGCCGGAGAGCCTGGACCATTTGGGAGCATCCTTGGATTGCCCAGCGAAGAACAGTCACACGACACCGGCACATGCACGGGGCCTGGCGGGTAGCACGTGGGTGCGTGCATTTGGCAGCCGGCAGCCCGACTCTGGAGACATCGAGCCGTGGACGATGGTTGGTGCTTCGCGTGTTCCTTTCCCTTACCTTTCCCCCCCTCCTCTCCAAACGTTGCGCTGAAAAAATAGTTTGGGCGTCCGAGCAATGGCAAAGATTTGTAGTTGAGTCGGGCCCGTCCCTCTACAGGAGGAAGATTCAAAAATATGGTAAAACATACTCTGGGGACTATTTCCTGGCATTTTTTGACACTTTTGGAGCATTTTTTGCGCATGTTTCGATTCTTCGTCGACAGTCCCCTTTGTAGGGGCACAGGCCCGATGGGCCCCGCGCCTGCGATGGGCCCCGCCTCTCCTCGAAGGGGCCGCGCCGCCGCCCCCCCCCCCCCCCCCCACGCGTGGGCGCGCCCGCGCCACGGGGGCGCCCGCCAAGGCCCGCGCGCCCCTCGCCGCGCCCTGCGGCGGCGGGAGTGCGCGAGAGGCCGCCCACCGGGGGTGGAGTCGGGCCCGTCCCCCCCCCCGCGGGAGGAGTCTGCAAGCAGAGTCCAAAAGTAGTCTGGGGACGATTTGGGGGGTCCTTTCTCGTCGATGTTTTTGGGCATTCTTTGACCATTCCGGATTGTTCCTCGGAAGCCCCCCTGTCGGGGGAGAGGCCCGACTTCTCCCGAGCGCCCCTCTCCGTGCCTGCGGCGGCGGGAGGGTGCGCCAGGCTGCCCACCAGGGCAAATGCGGCGCCACTGCCACCAGGGGGGGCCACCTCCAGCGGGGAGGTCCACGAGGCCTCCCCGATCTGGGCACGGGGGATGCCTCGAGCGAGGGGGGGACCACACAAGCAGGGAGACCCCCTTTGCTGTTCGCATCTCCTCGCCCTGGTGGTGTCGGTGTCGCGTTTCCTTGTTCTTAGAGTGGGGGACACACAGTCGACACTGGCAGTAAGGATGAGCGACTTCCCAAAGGGTGCCCTTACATCTTCGCCTCTTCGGGCATCTTCGGGCCATCCTCAATCATTTTTCGATGGCCCGGCCCGCTCTAAAAGCTTCGGCATGGGCGCCCAAGGTGCTTGCATCCTCATCTCGCATGCTTAGTGTCAGTTTTTACTCCAGCTCGAACGCGCTTCCCGAAGGGAGGCTGCTGAGCGGCGTAGGCGAGTGCCGCCCGAGCTTGTGCCTCATCTGTCACCAGCTCGCGCAGCCGAGCGCACTGGAAGAATGCATCCTCAGGGCAATGCCAGTGGAGGAGATGGGCTCGGCGGGGGGCGCATCGACTCCCGATCGCCCACTCGTCGCCGCTGGGAGCCCGACAGCCCCACCGCCATCGAGGGCCGATCGCCGATCTTTCTGCGATGCGTCGCCGCTGCCGGCTGGACGTGCCCCCCCATGGCACGCGCCCCGTCCCCCGAAGCTCCCCCTCGCCTACGGCAGGTGCGCGTCGTGTCGACCAGCGGCGACCCCGCCGGCGGCCCTCAACGTTGAACGCCGCCGGCGACCTAGAATTGGCCGGCGTTGAAGGATCCGACGTTTCCGAAACGGCCGATCGTTCAGGGATCTGGCGTTTCCGAAACGGCCGAGACGGGCGGTGTCGGGAACCAACGCCGGGGTCGACACGACACGAATCCGTGGTAGCCGCCACATCTTTTTTTATCGTCAATGTGAGTGGGACGATCGGCACCCTAGAGTTCGTTCTGTTCTGTCCTCCTCCTCCTCCCGCGCAATGCCGAGTCTTCTTCTTCTTCTTCTTCTTCTTCTTCCTCCTCCTCCTCCTCCTTGTCCTCCTCTCCTCTCCAGTCCCCTCTCGTCCTCCTCGTCCTCCTCTCTCTCTCTCTCTCGTTCTCTTCCTATTCTCAGGAGGGGAAACAATGCACAAACACAATTAATCGTCGATTCCCAGGAAAACATGGGAAGATACGGGAAGTGGGGGGGGGGACGAAAACACAGAAAGTATGGGAACATATGGGGAATCCTGTTATTTGTTTATTTATTTAATCGCTTCGCTCATTCCGCCAGCCCTCGAGCGCTCTATGGGGCCTCTGTGAAGCGTCTTGGGGGCCTCTTTGGGGCCTCCTACCTTGAGGGTCGTATCTGCTCTAATTAAGTGTTTGCGCTAATTGAGATAAACAGGGCTGTTTTCCTTAATTAGCTGTTTGCTTTAATTCGTTAAATCGAGAGGTTTTCATGTTGCTCTATGTTGATTATATGTTGATTTCCCCTTGTTATATGTTATATGTTGGTTTCATGTTGGCCCTATCATGTTATGTTCCTCCTCCTCCTCCTCCTCCTCCTCCTTCTCCTCTTTCCTCCTCCTCCTCCCTCCACCTCCCCGCGGCGCCCCCTCGACAGGAGACGTTGTTTTTTTGCTCAGCGAGCGCAAAAGGGGAAGCACGGCTTCCGACTCTGGGCGCAGGGGCGGCGCGCGCTTCACTCATTGAACGCGTCGCCGCTGGTTCGCCTGTAAGTCCCTCCCGCCGTTCTGGGCCGCTTGCATCTCAGCCGAGATCGCCAGCCGCTCGTCGACCAGCTTCTCGGCCCTGGGCCTTTGGTAGTGCTCCAGAACCTTCTCGTGGAGGCCAAGGCGGCAATTATGGACGCATTGCTGGCAGCAGCGATACCACCAAGAACCGTCCAGCTCCTGCACGTAACGCCAGGACTGCCTGTCGGCCGCAGCGAGGGCGCCGCACGTCGAGCATCGAGCGTCCCAGGCTGCCATGGCAACTGTTGTGGTGAATTCCTGAAATCGGGTCGGGCAGCTTGCAGAAAACTTCAACCAAAAACGGCTGCGGCGGCGAGGATGAGCAGAAGGAATACGATTGGAAATTAAAAGGTGGATGATGGGGCGGGGAGAGCGGGGAAGGAGAGCTCCGACACGAGTCGGCGTAGCCTCTCCTGCACAGGAGGGGGCCTCCTGCGCAGGGGGGGGGGAGAAGGCGACATCTGTTTTGGATTTGGCCGAGGAGCCATCCACAGATCCTAACGAAAGGCTGCGAAAAAAAAATGCTCATCAACGCGACGCTGAAGCCCTTGGGCGTGAGTGCGCTGCCACGACGCTTGGCGAAGTGAGCGCCGGTGCCTCCGAAGTCCTCCCCCCTGTAAGTCCAGCGTGTCTCGGGTTGATGGCCCTGCTATGATTCCAAGCTAATCTCGAGCAATTGATGAAGCTTCGGTCTGATGTGAAACATTTTCGGGCGCATGCCGCGCAGAGCGGTGCACTGCAGGCTGAACTTGATCGACTGCTCATTCAGAATGTCTCCCTTCAGGCTACCACTTCTCAAGCAAGTATAACACTGGGACAAATGAACATCGCATTTCGTATCGCGGCCTCCGCGACATTCGGGTCGCAGAGCTCGCCGGCGAGTGCTTCCCCGAAGGGTGGCATGTGCCGGATAACGACAGCCTGCCTTGAAAGCCGTATTACCTTCTTGTGCTTCATAGTTTTCATGGCCAAGGAGTGAATGCGATCCATCTCTGGGTTGTGCTCGTACCAAGTACTCCGGCGATTCCACAACTCTTGGCACTGCGCGTCGTTCGTGGGGCCACCAATCTGAAAACAAAAACACCTGCCCCAACCAATCTGCTGCGACGCCCAGACCAACTGCATGTGACCAATCGATTCTCCAAACGGATTGGTCAACCCAAGGTGTTGACATCATTGGCGATATTGTGACATCATGTTCCATTAGGTGCTGTATCAATTGCGCCTTCGTGCGCCTGTTGCTCCGCCACGGCGCCGCGCTGCAGATGCGCTCTGGCTGGAAGACCTGCGCGAGCGAGAAACGAGGAGAGCGGGGCGCGTAGGACGAAGAGGAGCACGAGGAGGCAGGCGAGGGAGAGCGCGGGAGGAGGGGCCTGCTGCGGCGTCACGTGGCACCTCCAGCAGCACCCCGCCTTCTCGCTGAACTGCGGGAACCCGAATGCATTTTTCCAACATCCCCAATCTGCGCGCATTTGCACCGGCGCAGTCCTGTACCCCAGATCTGCAGATGCCTTTTTGGCCTTGTGAAAGTCAGACTTTAACCAAGCTGCGCCGTCGTGGCGGGCGGCAGGGCATGCGCGCGTAGCCATGGGCCGAAAACTCCAAGCAATCGCATTGCCACGTGTTCGTGCTCATGGAGGCCTTTCTTCAAGCCAGTGATGGGTACGCGCAGCTTGTGTTCCTCCATCGTTCTCGGCTTCCCATGCAAATCCAAGCGCGCGGGTTCTACTGACTGATCGCGGCGGCACTGGCAGGGGGCGCCGTCGGCCCGCAAGCCTGCAGGAATGATCGAATCAGCTTGCATTGCCGAGAGGCAGCGTTGCGCGTGACCTGCCCCCACTTTGTCCAGGCCGCTTAAGCTCTCCAGCTTCTCCAACGAGCCGTATTTCACCAACTGGGTAAAGTATTCGCGTGGCAAGCCGAACGCGACCCACTCCTTCTGCTCGCGGCTGCGCCTCTTGTTCCAACAGCGGACCTGAGCGAAGTACGGCCTGGGCCACAAGTTCCCTCGAAGCATTCGTCTCCGCAGCCTCCTAGATGCATTGCCACCGACGTTTGCCCACTTGCGTTTCTCATCACCTCCTCGGTGGCTTGTCAAGGAGAGCGCCCCTGTGTGCCCCCCCCGCGTGGGCGTCGTCGAAGAGCGACTGGGCTTGGTTGTAGGTGAGCGCGTCGGTCGTCAGTAGCGCGCCTTCGTTTGCCCTCAACCTCTTCTCAGGAGGAAGAGCCGCAGTGTCGGAATGGCGCCCGCGCTTGCCGAGCATAGCGGCCCTCGGAGAAAACAAACCAAAGGAATGCCTGATGGGCCGCAAAGCTGATACGGAAGACAAAGAAGATGAAGGATCGATGCTTGCATGCGCCCTCCTGCACAGGAGGGGGCGCGACGTCGTCGACGCGCTCATTTTTTCCGGAGCGAAGTGGCGGCGAACCGCTAGGGCACGCGTGCGGTTGCGGCAGCGCGCTCTGCGAACGCATGTCCTTCGGTCCCACTGTCCATCCTGGCTGTCCATCCCCATGCTTGTATGCAATTCCCGTCTACCTGGTCATATCATGGTCACCCTGTCTCTCCTAGCTGTCCATCCCGTCGTCCTCGCCCTCCGCCCCTCCCCGTCGAGCGTGCTCGCGTGCGCCTGCCAGAGCCTCGCACGTGCTCGAGCAGCTCGGAATACTTGCGCTTGCAAGCCTTCGACCCTGTCAGGCGGCGCTCGAGCATTTCCTTCATCAGCGAGCTTCTTCTTGAGGGCGGGCAAATCCTGCGTGTCCATGGGGTGCGCGCCCTCGGCTACCGCGATGTGGCAGTGGCGCTCGTCCACGAAGTTACCCGGGACATTGGCGCTGCGTTCCAGCTTCGCCGAGTAGCCCGACCAAAGGTTATTCTTATTATCCTCCTTGGCGGCCCTGCTCTTCGCAGTGAGCTGGCTCTTGCACTGGCGCAGAGTCGTCTGGATCTTCTGCAGCCCATCCAAATCAGCCCTGGGAGGCAGAAAACCAAAGCCCCCCCCCCCCCACACACACCACCGCCACCACACACGCGCCACCCCGCCCCGCCCCCCCGCCCGCCGCGCCCCTGCCGCCCAGCGCCGACGAGCTTTGGAGCAGGGGGTGGCGGAACGGGAAGAGAGAGGAGCGAAGGTCGATTTTCATTTTCGGTCTTTAGAAGTTTCGCCGCCTCCTTCACCTCGGGGATCGCGGGGCCCTCGCCCTTGATCTGCACATTCGAGTCGGATGACGACGCTGATGCTGCCAACGGGGCGCCCATGCTGTCGCGCACGCTCAGGAGCTGCGCCCCGTTCTTCACATCCGTGCCGCCAGAGATCTTCTTGGACTGGGTCTGCTTCCAGGACTTCTGATGCCCCTCGTCCGCCGCGAAGAAACATCTGCTCAATTCCTCGTTCGTGTCATGAATGCGCGGGGGATTCGCCTCCTCGGTGTCGAACTGTTTTCGGTTCTCTTCGTGCAAAGTGACTGCAAGCTCGACGGCCTCCCTGCGGGTGTCGAAATCCATGAAAGAGTAGTCCTTCCCCTTGAGGATCTGCGCGGGGATGAGATACTTGTCCCTGCTTGAAAACTCACCCTCCCTCATGATCACACGAATGCTCGAAGTGCGCGGCGAACTGCAATCCCGACGAGGTTTCACCGCGGTTTTTATCTTCCCACATCTTCAAGAAGCGCTTCTTATCTTCGGCGTTCACAAGAGAGTTCCGCTTCGCCTGGGCTTCCTTGGCGGCCTTCTTCTTTTCCTCGCCCTTGGCGGCGGCGCTGGTCTGGCACCTCAGGGAAGTGAGCGTGCGATTCAGAGCGCCGTGATCGAGGGCGGTCTGCTTGGGCTTGGCCATGGCCTTGGCTTTCTTAATTGGCATGCACGCGGCCAGGGCGGCCGCGATCGCAGGCGCTGGCAGGCAATGCGGCGCGCGCGCCAAGAGAACGAGGCACTGCGACGTCATCGCGGAAGCAGAGCCCACGGCGGGCGGGCGCCGAGGATGCTGGAGCAAGCGGCAGATCTGGGGCCGAAAGAACTCCAGATGTCCAATCGGTCCTGCGACGCGCAGAGCAGATGCGCACCGCCAGGAGGCCCGCGGCCCTCCTTCCGGGCGAAATATCTCACCTCCTCTTCCTCCTCATCCTCCTCCTCTTCTTCCTCCTCCGTCGCCCTACTGTGCAGGTGGGCAGAAGAAGTCGCGGCTGGGTGTTGTTACTTTTTCAAATGGCATGTCTGCGGTGACCTCGCCGTCTGGGTTTACGGCGGCACGAAAAGACTTTGCGAGCGTGGCACGGCAGCGAAAGACTTGCGGACAAGTCATATCTGCTCAGCGCGGCGAAACTATGCGATCTACGCAAAGAGCCGACCGGCGCCAGCACCGCCCGCTTAGCGGTTGGACGGCGCGCCGGCTGCCATTGTTGAGGTCATTTGACGGGGGCGGCGTCTGGTCGCATGATAGGCGCGCGCGTGCGACATTGCCTTGCTTGCCAACTCACCTGCCGCTGCCGCCACCGCCGCCTGCGCAAGTGGTGCATGTGCGCAGGCGCACGCAGTGCGTGTGCAGCGCGCTATGTGACTGGACGTGGTGCGCGCGTGCAGGCGCATGTGCGACGCGCGCGAGGTCACGCGTGGATGCATATGACATTTATGAATGCGTATTACATTTATTATACGTATGAGAAGAACCATGCAAACTTCGCTCAGAACTCGAATGCGCTGCGAGAGCCTGCCCGCAGAGATCCACGCAGTATTTGGTTCGGTCCTGAAGGGGGCCCTCGGAAAGTCTGTTCAGACAGATTCTGTCGAAAGAGTTTTTTCGAAATAATTATTTCGAAATTTTTCCGCCTGCAGCAATGCGAAAATATACGAAATAATTCTTTCGAACGAATTCTATCGAAATAATTTTGCCTGAAGATTTTCGTGCGGAGGTGGGTCGGTGGCGGGGTCGGTCCGACGCGACCTCTGACAGCTGCCTCGCCTTCCTCGGATCGGTGGCGAAACCGGTCCCACGCGACCTCTGACCGGCGGCGTTGCCCTCCTCTGCGGAAACGACATGGCCGCGCATGCGGCATCGATGCTTGCATGTCGCTTCTCCTCCGTCTGACTTCGCCTCCACCATTCTGCCTGCCCCTTCCCCCCCTGGCAGCGGCGCCCCCTGCGCAGGAGGCTGATGTGACGATGCTTATGATTATGGCGATGTGTTTTTTTTTTCTCGCGTGCGTGGCGCGCGGCCACCTCTGCGTCGCAGGACGCGCTGCGACGAAGAGACTGCCTCTCCTCTAGGCGGCCTGCTCCTTGCCGCCGTCTGGCTCGGAGCCGCCGTCGCCCTTGTCCTTGTCGTTTTTTGTTTTTTTTTTGTTCCTCCCCTTCTTTCGGGAGGGCCGTCGCCGGCGCTCTTCATGTCGGGCTGGCGCTTCTTGCTCTGGTCCTCCTGCTCAGCGGTGGAACCTGGAATCTCTTTGCCAGCGGCGGTGGTGGGCTGAGCGGCAGGGTCTGGGCTCTCTAGCTCAGCAGCAGGCTGTTGTCCTGCGGTGGCGTCGTGCGCTACTTGGGCTGCCTGAGATTGTTCCCTTGCTCTTGCCCGATTCTCGGGGCCTTTCAAACCTTCGGGCGTCGTCGGGGCTGGAAGAGCAGCGTCTTCTGCCCCATGGCTGGGGGCCGTCGGCGTCGGCGGAGGCAGCAGCTCGATGGGGGTCGTCGGCCGCGGCGGAGCTGCCTCCTGGCTGGGAGCCGTCTGCTGCGGCATTGCCGCTTCCTCCGTCGGCTGCGGCGGAGCCGCCTCCTGGCTGGGAGGGGTCCTGTTCGCGCGCCGCGGTGCCCTTTTCGCAGGTGGTCGGCTTTGTTTTCCGCGCAGGCGCCGCAGCTCGGTTTGCGTTGCTGCTGCTGCCTCGGGCGCCTGCGTCTCTGCCGCGGCCTCTGCGGTGGCGGGCTCCTCCTCGGCGGTGTCTGGCTCCGCGGGCGTTGCCATGCCGCTGGCGCTGCTGCTGGCGGCGCCCTGCTGCCCTCTTTTTACGGCCTGGCGGATCTTCTGCATGTTCGGTACCTGCATGGAGATGATCTCGCGTTCGGAATCAGAGCCGTCTGCAGCCTCGCCCTTCACTGCAAGCAGTTTCGTTTCGGTTGCCGCTGCTGCGGGCGCTTCGGCGCCTGCCGTTAAGAATTTCTTCCTCGTGCGTCAGCGGCGACGGAACCGCGGTATTCTCTTATTCTTCATTCTCAGAGTCGCTTCGGTTGCTGCCTCCGTCGCCCCCCCTCAGTGCCTGTCACCTCGCATTCTGCTGGGGCTTCGGCTGCGCCTGGCTCTGCTGCTGGGGTGGCTGCCGTAAGCGGCGTGTCTGGAGGGGCGGCGTGCCCTGCCCCCCCCCCCCCCCTTCGCGGCTGTGTGGCGCGCTGCCTGGGTCGGTGGCGGCGGCTGCTGCCCTGCTGGGGTCCGCGGCGGCGGCGGCGGCGCTGCTCCTGCTGCGAGCGGCATGTTGGGGAACGGCAGCGGCTGCAGAGTGGCTTGGGGCATCGAAGCCTGAGGCCAGGCATGCCGCGGAGGCGTGTGCGACATCGCGATCACGTGCGGCTGCTGCTTCTGCTGTTGCTGCTGGAGCGTGCGTGCGACCTCCTGCGCCACCTCGTGCGCCGTGGGTGCTGCCGCCGCTTGCCTTAGCGTTTTCATCAGGTCAGCATTAGACGGGGCTGGGCCAGAGTTGCGGAGTTGATATGGCGGTGGAGCGGCTGGCGGGCGGGGGCCATGCTTGGGCATCGGCTTCAGCGTTGGCGTAGCGCGCGGGTACCGTGTCAACCTCGAAGTGCACGATGGGGGCCCGCATTGGGCCAGCCCTGGGGCCCGTCGGTCTCGGCCTCGGGGGCGCGAGGATGCGCCCGTGTTCTGCGATCTCTTGCCCCTCGCGCTGCTTGATGCGTTGCCGCCACCTAGGAACGCCCTCCTGTACAGGAGGGGCGCCCCTGCACAGGGTGTCAAGAAGGAGCCAACAACACAAATCATCTTAAGTCTGAGTTGCAAGCCGGTCGCGCTCCGCGGCCGCTTGGTGCCGCGCTGCTCTCTCTTCCTGCCCTTGTTTTTCTTCCTCGCGCCCTGCGTCTTGTTGGGGAGCTCGTAGAGGCCGAAGGTTGCGCTGTGGCGGCGGTTTGCCCTGCTCCAATCCTGGCACTTCAGCGAGAGGCACAAGCCGCTCCCGATGAACTTCATCTCTCCGCAGCGCCTGCGCTTGCTTGGCGGGCGGCGCAGGTGCATGCCGAATGGGGGCCTTGCGCAGCCCGTGGTCGTCAAGCTGCTCCTCACCATCCTCCTCGTCGTCGTCGCCCGTGAGGTTGACGCCGCCGCCCTCGGGGTCGCCCCCGCGCCCGCGGCCGCCCCCGTCAGTAGGGCCGCCGCCAGGGGCGCCATCTTCTCCTCCAGGCGGCGCCGTGCGCAGGCCGACGCCCATCGCCTGGTGGATCTCTCTCTCTCTCTCTCTCTCTCTCTCTCTCTCTCTCTCTCTCTCTCTCTCTCTCTCTCTCTCTCTCTCTCTCTCTATATATATCTCTCTCTCTCTCTCTCTTCTCTCTCTCTCTCTCTCTCTCTCTTCTCTCTCTCTCTCTCTCTCTCTCTCTCTCTCTCTCTTCCTCTCTCTCTCTCTCTCTCTCTCTCTCTCTCTCTCTCTCTTTCTCTTCTCTCTCTTTCTCTCTCTCTCTCTCTCTGTCCTATTTTTTTTTTTCTCTCTCTCTCTCTCTCTCTCTCTCTCTCTCTCTCTCTCTCTCTCTCTCTCTCTCTCTCTCTCTCCCTCGCCCCCCCCCCCCCCCCTTGCCCCGTCCCTCCCCTTCCTGCCTCCTGCCCCCCCCCCCCCCCCCCCCCCCCCCTCCCCCCCCCTTCTCCTCCTCATCCCCACCCCCTCCTCCCCTCCCCCCTGCGCCTCTCTGCCCGTGCTGCCCGCTCCCCCCCCCCCCTTTCCTCTGCTGCTAATGCAATCGCCTTGCTGGTCAGGGCCAGCAGCAGAGCCAAGGCCCTAAGGGGGGCATGGCTGCTGGCGGCATGCCTCGCGGCGACCTCCCTCGCTGCTCGGGCATGCCCGCCCTGGGCCCTCCCGCGCCCTCTGGGCCCTCGGCGGCCTCGAAGCCGAAGCGTCTTCAACCAGGATCAGTCTGGAGCTCTCTCCCCCTGGCGCCCACTTTCTCCCTTCTCCGCGCCCTCATGCACAGGGGGGGGGGGGGGGAGCTTTCGCAGCGCTTCCGTAAAACGCGAAGCTGAACAAGCTGTTGATTGAAAGCGCGCTACCAGTGTAGACATAACCATATCTACGATACATTTATATCTATGCCTACGATACATATATACAGCAGAATGCTAACTGATGTGTGTTGAGCGCACATGTTCGCGGCAATGCGCGCGTGCGCGCGCGCGCGTGCATGTGCGCGAGTGCGCGCGCGTGCACAGTTGCCTTCGCCGTCGCCAACGGACGCTCGTCGCCGCCCCGCCGCCGCCGAACCCCGCCTGCATGGCGCGCATATGCGTGTTCATGTGCGCGCGTATATGTCGCCCCCGAAATATCAAGTTCGCTTGCAGTCGGTCCGCCGCGCCAACCGCCGAGCAAGAACGGCCTGGCGTCGCTTTCGCCCCAGTGAGTCTATAGCGCGCACCGCGCGGCATCCCTCGCAGGGAATCCGGAATCTCGTTGCCCTTTCGCTTGCAGAGGGGTCGGCTGTAGCCGCGTAAACGCGTGCCCCGCCAGGGGGCCTTCTGCGGGGGTGTCTATGAGGTCAGGAAGCGCGTGAGGGCTGCACCGAAATGCTTCCCATTGCGGCGGAGATCTGCGCCAGTAGCTTACCTCTGTTCTCGTGCAGCAATTTCACGAGCTCCTCCGCCGCCTTCACCTTCTCCTCCTTGCTGTAGCGGTCGGATTTCTTGCCGATAGAGCACGCCTGACGCTCGTTGCCGGAATTCCCCCGCACGGCGCTGCGCCCGCGGCCCGCCCCTCT